CCTACTGTTCACACTCTGGTTTCTACAGTTGTCAGAATCTGTAGATTTTTGCCCCTGCCCCTTGACTCCGGCCACCTGACTCAGATAATTTACATTTGGGCTTTCCCAAAATTCCACAGCCAAGCTCAAGTTAGGATATGCCTGGGGATTCTGGAGGCTATGAAGAACCTGAGGAGTAAGCCAGTCTGTTACAGGTGATTGTCCACAAGGGGACAAAGGCGAACTTCCATTTCTTTCATTTTTCACCTTACCACAGCTTGCCCCAATATCGTTACCCGGTCTGCTTGGGGAGCCAGAGAGACATACTGCCCAAAAATGAATCTTCCAGCCAAATACGTCATTATCATCCACACTGCCGGGTCAAGCTGCAATGTATCCATGGTCTGCCAGGATAGAGTGCGAGATATACAGTCCTTCCACATGGACAAGTGGAACTTCTGTGACATCGGATATCAGTAAGTGGGATCAGTGGAAATGTGACCCTATTTTTCTTCAGGGCTGTAGAAAGGAAGGCTGGGGGTGGGAACCCATATTTGTGGAGCCCTTTGAGTCAAGTGCTTTACATAGGTGCAATATTTAAATCTTGCTAGACTAGGATGGAGGGTCTTATAGAGCACAGCTAAGGGCTAGTTACCCATCTTGGGCAGGATCTTTACAAATGACTGGGAAGGCTCTGAAAAGAAATGGTAGAAGTGTCTTTTTTTTTTTTTGGAGAGGTTTTCTCTACAGGGCGCGTGTGTTCGCCAGCCAGCCAGACAGAGACAGAGAGACAGAAAGTGAGAAATCACCCCCCAGGGGGGATGGTCACGCCGCAGTCCCTTCTCCTCCATTCTCCTCTCGGGATCTTGGGCACGCACGCACACACGCCCGGCGTGAGTTCTAAGCCACCGGGTCCAGGATGTGAACCGTGGTCGACTACGTGGGAGTCCAGCGACATAGCCATTACGCTAACTGCTGGTTCCCAAGAAGTGTCTTTTTTATGGAATGCCCTCTAACCAATCAGAGACAGAAGCTCACCCCCTCCCTGTGTCTGCTCCAACCCCAAGCTCGCTCTATTCGATGTTAGAATCCTGCCATTTCTCTGATATTGATTTACCCCATTTAATAGTTACCGTAACTTTTAACCTCTCTAGGCCTCTTTCGTCTCATCTCTATAATAAGACAATGATACTTGCTCTGTTTCAAGACCAGGAGTGAGATTTAGATATTATCTGTTGGTTCCAGGTCTGTAATAAAGAAACACATCAAACTAGTGGACTAGCAGAAGCTATTTGGAAGATACCTTGGAATGTTCATAGAAGGGATCTAGGATTAGAGGATGATTAATTTCAACTGGTCAAACCGTGACTTCGTCACAACAAATTTGACAAAATCTCAGGTGGATTTGCTTTTGCAAATATATTATTATGGGCCAGCTATTCATCTCCTCTTAACTCCCATTTTAAAAGCAGCCTTTGCAAACAGGAGAAAACTATTGCTTCACTTTGCAGTATTTTCCAGAGGCTTGCTGTAGTTATTTAGCACAGATAATAGAGAATTCACTATACATTTGGAAATTCCAAATGGAAAATACCAAAGCTTAGGGAATATGTTTCTTTTCTTTTTTGTTTGTCTTTAGAGACTCAATCCATGTTCCTTGGCTTTCAAAACTTATGATACCCCTTTCCACTCCAACCTCACGATCTCTAACTCTGATGTGAACTGTAACTAGAACAAAGCACCCACTTGCTCATCATTTTCTAACTTTCTAACTAATACTTAGAGGGTCTCTACTATACTCTTGGTGTTAGGCAAGATTAATATGATTTATTCTGTGTGGAGTTGAGAGAGATCATAAACAAGTATTATAATTCAAAGTGAAGGAAACCAAAATATTTTTCTCTTTTCCCCCTCCAAGCTGAGGATGGTTGAGCTGAGGGAGATTAGAATGCAGGGAGACCTTCTGCCTTTTCCCCTGTCTGCATGAGTGCAGGACAAAAAAAAAACTGCTGAAGATAGCTCACTTTCAGTTCAGGGTGGCACCAACAGGGTCAGAGCAATTGGGAAGCAAACTTCACCAACTTCTCACAGGTTTCCTGCCACTTGAGCCTGGAGCTGGGTGGTCTTCTCTCCTGCTACTTTTAATTTTATTTTCTTCCTTTCAAAATTAAATACTGAGATGGATGAAGATCAGGATACACCTAGGATGATGCCCAATCTTCTAGCTGAGGAGAACAGAGAAGAAGATGGGTTCCTCTGAGGATGTTGGTTTTTGTAGGTAGGAACAGAAGCTATGAGAGCAGATGATTGTCTAGGGAGAATGCACTGAGTGAGAAGAGAGAAGGGGCTAGACCAGAGTCCCGAGGACTGCTAGATAGAGGCAAGGAAGGTGGCTTGGCAGAAGGGCTCCAAGGAGAGCAGCAAAAAGAGGAAACTTGGAAGGGTGTGGGCTGTGGAAGTCCAGTAAAGACAACGTTTGGGAAGAGTGTCAATAGGATCATTGTGATCCAAAAGTTAAAAGAGGGAATCTGTTGATGATAATGTATGTGGCAATATCTTTGAATGGACTAATACACAGTGTATTCACGCTGGGGAAAAAAAGAAGCCTGCTATACTACTTAGCGTCAAGGAGGCCACTGGTCACCTTGGAGGGGTCAGATTGAGTAAAGTTCTGGGGACAAAGGTCACATTGTAGTGAACTCTGTGTGTGTGTTTTTGTTTTGTTTTTCTTTTTTGTTTCTGGAGGTGTGGGTGTATAAGAGACATCTACCTCATTAATGTTTGATGGGTGGATGGAAGAATGAATTAATGATCAAAAGAGTGAATGAAGAAAATTCTGTTTCCCAGAGTGACATTCTTTGTTTTCCTTTGCCCAATCCTAGCTTTCTGGTGGGACAGGATGGTGGTGTGTATGAAGGAGTTGGCTGGCATATCCAAGGCTCTCACACTTACGGATACAATGATATTGCCCTAGGAATTGCCTTCATTGGCAACTTTATAGGTAAGAGTCTGGCATGGGGCATGGGGATTCTGGGTAGAAGTATATGGAATGGGAGACAAGGCAATATTGTGGTGCCTGAGACACAAGGTCAGTGGAGCAGTGGAGCTTTAAAGTGGAATTTCAATAAAGTGGAATGTCTCTGGGAGCTCCTCCCAGAAAGAAAATTTGCCACAAATCCAGCCCTCCCTATCCTCCCCAGTTTCATCTCATTTTATATTCATACTCAAGACAAGCATGGAGCAAGGGACACAGTAATCTTTTGCAAACTTCAGTGCTTTTATGAGCTCAGTTGCCTTCCTTGGTATCGCCTTCCTTGGTAGCCATAGCAACAATATTGGGGACCACCACTGTCTGTTATGGAGAAGCTGTGGATGGCTCAGGATTTGAACCTGCTGAGAAGTGGCGTGTTACGCTATGGTTCTCCTCCAGAGAAGTCTGTAACTTTCCAGAGGAAACTTTGGCAAGGAAGCACTGGGAAACACAAAGACCTTGTTTTCTTTTGTGTTTCCTTGTTACAATTACTTTGAATTTGTTGGCTATGGTGTGGTGGGATAGTGTGGGATGAGGGAGGAGGGAGACCGAAATCTTGGTGCTTATCCCTGTTGTAAGCAAGTACCCTTGAGGCCCTCATGACTAATGGAGTAACTGTGTTTTCCAGAAAAGCCTCCAAATGCTGCTGCACTGGAGGCAGCCCAGGACCTGATCCACTGTGCTGTGGAAAAGGGGTATCTGACTCCCAACTACCTGCTGGTGGGCCACAGTGATGTGACCAACATTCTCTCCCCTGGGCAGGCCTTGTACAACATCATCAGCACCCCTCCCTATCCTCCCCAGTTTCATCTCATTTTATATTCATACTCAAGACAAGCATGGAGCAAGGGACACAGTAATCTTTTGCAAACTTCAGTGCTTTTATGAGCTCAGTTGCCTTCCTTGGTATCGCCTTCCTTGGTAGCCATAGCAACAATATTGGGGACCACCACTGTCTGTTATGGAGAAGCTGTGGATGGCTCAGGATTTGAACCTGCTGAGAAGTGGCGTGTTACGCTATGGTTCTCCTCCAGAGAAGTCTGTAACTTTCCAGAGGAAACTTTGGCAAGGAAGCACTGGGAAACACAAAGACCTTGTTTTCTTTTGTGTTTCCTTGTTACAATTACTTTGAATTTGTTGGCTATGGTGTGGTGGGATAGTGTGGGATGAGGGAGGAGGGAGACCGAAATCTTGGTGCTTATCCCTGTTGTAAGCAAGTACCCTTGAGGCCCTCATGACTAATGGAGTAACTGTGTTTTCCAGAAAAGCCTCCAAATGCTGCTGCACTGGAGGCAGCCCAGGACCTGATCCACTGTGCTGTGGAAAAGGGGTATCTGACTCCCAACTACCTGCTGGTGGGCCACAGTGATGTGACCAACATTCTCTCCCCTGGGCAGGCCTTGTACAACATCATCAGCACCTGGCCTCACTTCAAGCACTGAGTGAGGCCCCGGCTCCACTCTGCTGAGTCTCTCCTGTCTGTACCATCACTCTGGCCCACCTGTGTCCCCCTCCCCTGCTAGCCCAACCTTCCTCTCCTTTCTCAGGTTAATCAGATCATGTCCTTGCCAGCTAACATTCTAAACCCTGAGCTGTGCATTCATGACCCCCTGAGTCTGGGTCCGCTTTCCTCCCTGCTCACCTCCTCTCCCCTGGACACCCACCTTCTCAGCAAGGTGAAATGAGGGTCGAGTTCTTTTTTTCCTGTTGTCCATGCCCCTCTGCCTGGGGTACCCTCTCCTGCTGTTGGCCCAGGAACCCCCACCGCTCACCATGACCCAGCTGATGTGCCTACCTCCCCTCTCTGCTCACACACTGACCCGCACTTGTGGGTGCAGCTCTTACTGATGGGCTGTGATTGTGGACATGTCTATTCTCTCTGCCGGATGCGAGTTTCTGCAGAGGAGGCGCTGTGGATTCATGCGGGCATGCTCAGCTCCTTATCAATGTGTGGGATTGTACAGGTGCCACAGGTGTTTGTTGAATAGATGGATGAATAAACGATGGAGTGGATCCAAGTCCCTGCTCCCCTTGCCAGTTTGCTTCGTCACCCCCTCTTTGGAACAACCCTCCTGGGCAGAGGCCCTTCCTGCCAGCATTCTCTCTGCTCTTGTTCCCGCTCCGTGACAAGCTGAGGGCTGGCTCTGGTTGTCACAGTTTCCACGTCTTTAGGATTTCACCTCCCTGTTCCCCAAGAGCATTCTGAACGCAGGGACTGTGTGCTCCTCCAGGACCAGGCCAAGGCTGTGTCCGCACAAGCTGCCCAGTGCCTGCTGCCTGTTCTTGCATCATTTGTTTAAGATGTCCTAGGACTTTAAGTGGGGAAGGCGTGGTGTCTTAATCCATTTTGTTGCTAACAATAAGAAAACACATGAAAAAATTTGTTTTTACTTTTTCTTTCTCTTCTTTTTCTCTCTCTCATTTTTAGATTTCTTTTACCCTTTTGCCATAGAGTACATGTACTCATTGGAGATAGAAAGATAGATAGATGAGAGAGAGAGAGAGAGAGAGAGAGAGAGAGAGAGAGAGAAATCACCCCTATGAGGGGGGCAGATAGCTACTCACAATCTCTTCTCCCCCATTCTCTTGGGACTTGGGGCATGCATGCACACACACCCAGAGTGATTTTCAAGCTGCAGGGTCCAGGACTCGAGCCGTGCAGTCGGCCATGTGGGATCCAGCTGCCTTAACCTAAAAATAAAGATTTTTCCAGCTCATGGTTTGGTGGTCCATAGTCCAGGGGTTCTTTCTGGTGGTTTTTATTTTGACTCCTTCACAATATGGTGGTGGTAAGGAGAGGGAGGTGTGTGTTCCATGTGTGTCTCTCATTTCCTCTTGTTATAAATGACCAGGACTCAGTCATGGGGCCCCACCCTGAGAACCTTAATCCTAGTCTCTTCCCCAAAGCCCCACCTTTTGACACCATAATTGGATCATGTTTTTACCTTCTTAATCTTGGTACAATGGCTCAACACATGAATTTTTTGGGGAACATATTAAAACCACAGCACATGGTCCATGTAGAGGATCAAACAGGCCCAGGGAGACTCAGCATCTTACTCCATCTACATGCCAGGGGACGGCAGCTCCAGGATGACTCCTGGAACAGGGTGCCTTTTTTTCTTTTCTTTTTTGTTTTTGGAGAAGTTTTTGCCATAGGGCGCGTGTGCTTGCCAGACAGACAGAGACAGAGAGACAGAAAGCAAGAAATCATCTCCCAGGGGGGTGGCCACACCACAATCCCTTCTCCTCCATTCTCCTCTCGGGATCTTGGGCATGCATGCACACGTGCCCGGCGTGAGTTTTAAGCCACCGGGTCCGGGACTCGAACCGTGGTCGACTACATGGGAGTTCAGCGACATAGCCATTACACTAACTGCTGGTCCCAGGGTGCCTTTCTATCAGACTCCTGTCATTCCAGTCCTTCCTGTGGGATGGAGGCTGGGTGCACACTTCCCAGAAGACCCTCCCCCAGAAAGGGTGAAGTAGCCAAAGAGATAGAGGTGAGATGCTGAGAAATGGTCTGATGAAAAAGCTGTTCTTGTGGCTTCTTGGCCTTCCTTATTATAGTCCTTTGAAGCAGAGAGTCTCCTCTCTGATTCCTGGGCCCTCCAAGCCTCAGGGACTTGCTTGCTCCCTATTCCCTTCTCCCCAGGTAGGCTTTGGAGATAGGCTGTAGACCCCCGTTTCTCCATCAGCACTCATGGAGGTCTCATCAAAACAATGTTGTATGGTCTGGATAATTGTTTTCACCAGATCAGCTACTTTTATTGATCTTAAGTAGACAGTCTAAGTAAAACCAGAACACTTAGCTAGCAAATATTTTTTTGAGGCAAATTCCAAAGCAGCCCATTCCGTGTAGTTGGCCTCTTCTGTGTCCTTTTATAGAGAAATTCTTCCCAGTTCTTTCTTAACCACTTGAAGGGAGGTGAAACTAATACCTACTTCAGTGGATGTTGTGAGGATTAACTGAATGAGTGTGCGTAGGGGTCTTATAACTCATGCTTGGCCTACAACGCATGTGCCATTGAGGTCAGTTGAGATGTCATAACTACTGCTGCTGTCGTTGCTGTCAATCATTCCTATTGGACTGTGGCAGGAAAGGGTCTGGCTTTGTGGGCACCAACCTCAGCTGCCTAAGGGAGTGTGGTGCAGGCCAAGCCCAAACCTAGCGATGATCAGAGAGGAGCCAGACAGGACCTAGCAGCCCCATGGTGAAGGAAACACCATGACTCCTACATGAGCCTCTGCATATCGGCAGGGGAGGGACTCCAGACCCTTTTACTCAGATATTTTCCACAGCGTAAGCCAGGGAAAAGCAAAGACTCCAAAATTTTTTCTGATTTCATAGTAGTAACTACTAGTCTGGTTAAAGTGCCCAGTAGGGAGCTGAACCAAAGGGGACAGATGACCAGTTCAAGTTTACCCAGTGAGTAATAAAGGAAGGGACATTCAGATTCTGAGGCACGGCACAGGTCCTATCACCCCTCTGGTCCAAATCACGCTGCGGCCTCTCGTTCAGAGGAAGTAGAAACACCCTCGCCTGCCACAGGTCTTCTATAGTCTCACTCCAGCCTGTTCTTTTCCATAGAATGAGACCGTGGACAACTTACCCTGGGCTTTCCCATCTTTGTGCCTTTGCACACACAGTCCCCACTTCTAGCTCCAACCCCTTCAATTCCACCCTTCTTTGGTTTCCTTCTTTCTATTTTCAAAAAGAATTATTTATTTAATTTTATATATTATTATTTTTTAAAAATTTGCTACAGGGCAGGTGCACTCACCAGAGAGAGACAAAGAGTGGGAAAGTGAGGAAGCAAGTCGCTAGATCCAGGACTCAAACAGTGGTCAGCCATATGGGAGTCCAGCGCCTTAGCCACCATACTGGCTCCCATTACCCCCTCTGTTTTTAAAGCCTGCTTATTTATTTCTTATGAGAAAGGGAGAGGCACCCCAGTATGGTCATCAGGCCACAGTCTAGCTCTAGTCTCAGCTGGCCTAGATCATGGGCACATATGCATGCTTATTGTGATGAAGGAGGTCCCAGGATGGGAACCCGGCCTTCTGCCATGTGAGTGCAGCGAGTGCAGTTGTGGCACTGCTATGCCATCGCCTGACCCAGCTTCAAGATCCTTTTCAAAGGTTAGCTCTCCCAGTGCTTCCTACTTTCCTGCTTCTCCAAACTAGAAGGGACATTTCCTCTCCAAGAGCCCATGGACTGTGTTCAGGCCTCTTTTTTTTTTCTTTTTTAAGTTTATTTATTTCTTCTATGAGCAAGAGATAGAGAGAGAGAGACAGCACCCCAACATGATCTCAATGCTGTGATCCACACCTCCACCCCAGCCTCAGCAGCCCAGATCATGGGCATATGCATGTGCCTGGTATACTCAGGGAGGTCTCTAGGCATGAGTCCGAAACTTTTCCATGCGGGTTAGCCTTGCAGAGCATGGACTTCTACCATGACATCATTGTCCCATCCTGCCCAGGCCTTTTTGTGGCTCAGCACTGCCCCTTGCCTTCTCCTCCTGACCCTGGTCTTCCTGAGCCCTCATGTGCTGGCTCTATTTCCAAGGCCCTTCATGGGGCCTGGCACAGTGCTGGGGCTCCCACTGGTGAGTCTGTGGGATGACAGGTGGGGTAGGGTGGGAAGAGCAGAATTTTCAGCCCAGGACAGCACAGCTTTTCCCTCAGCTGGTATCAGTCACTTGCCAAGGGTGGAAAATCCAGCATCTTCCAGCTGACACCAGCCCTCTGCTGTGACTCCTCAGATTTCTTAATCCCAGGTCTCATTGCTCCCACCCTCACCCCATTAGTTATGAGATCTGGGAGAAGACACTTGGAGATTTCTGACCGCAGCCTGGGCAAAACACAGCCCAGTGCTGGCCCCACCTGAATGCTGCCCCCTCTGGATCATTTTTTTCTCCCTGAAGCTCCTGCTTACTTCCTCCCCATGCTTCTTAGGCCCTTCCTCTTTGTCTGTTGGATCCTTTTCTTTCCACACTTCTGTGTCCTTCCCTAGGTTCTCTTTGTCCCCAACTCTGTCTCCTTCCCCTCTACTCTTTGCCTGGCTCTATTTCATTCTTTCTCTCTCTGCCTCCCTCTCTGCCTCTCAATGCTTCTTATTTTCTGTCTCTGTCTTTGTCTTCTCTTTTGCTGTTATCAACACCAAGAATATGGTAGTGGGGAAGGGGTGCTGAGCCTTAGCACTGGGGATGCCTACACAGGGCCTCTACTCTGACCTCTGTAACCATCTCCACCCTCTGCCTCAGGGCTGCTGGGGAGTGGGAGGGGAGGGGAGGGTGGCTGTGGGGAAGGTATACATTTTCCAGAAGCTTAGAGACAGACAAAGTGCAACCAGGTGTGTTTCTGGCCCAGCAGGTTCTGTCAAGCAGGGCTGACCCAGGGCAGGGCCTTAATTAGATCTGAGCTTTGAGACAGTGGAAGGTGTTATTAGGTGGAAGGAGTGGTGGGCGGGGGTGGAGCTCCTGGGAGGTGTGGCAGGGACCTCTGGGGTAA